CTGGTTCAGACTGGTTCAGACTGGTTTAGACTGGTTTAGACTGGTTCAGGCTGGTTCAGACTGGTTTAGACTGGTTTAGAAGACTGGTTTAGACTGGTTTAGGCTGGTTCAGGCTGGTTCAGACTGGTTTAGACTGGTTCAGGCTGGTTCAGACTGGTTTAGACTGCTGGGTTCAGACTGGTTTAGACTGTTTAGACTGGTTCAGGCTGGTTCAGACTGGTTCAGACTGGTTCAGACTGGTTCAGACTGGTTTAGACTGGTTCAAGCTGGTTCAGACTGGACTGGGTTAAGACTGGTTAAGACTGGTTCAGACTGGTTTCTGGTTCAGGCTGGTTTCAGGCTGGTTTCAGACTGAACTGGGTTAAGACTGGTTAAGACTGGTTCAGACTGGGTCAGAAGAACTTGTCTCACCGATCTCTCAGCAGTCAGATCCAGAATTGTCCAAGACTCTCAGAGGTCTCTGGGAGACCACTGGCCTCCCAATGAGAACTCTTGATGGTGTTTGGTTTTTGGGAGGTTCAGAGACTGCTGAGTGATCTGGGCTGGACTCTTAGAGGTCTCTGGGAGACCACTGGCCTCCCAATGAGAACTCTTGGTGGTGTTTGGTTTTTGGGAGGTTCAGAGACTGCTGAGTGATCTGAGCTGGACTCTCAGACCACAAGCTGGTTTCAGGGAGTCTGAACCCGTCCTACAAGTTTACRGGTTCTGACCTTTGACTCTGTCCTCCTTCAGGTCCTGTCTCCTCACCGGTTGTCACTCCCAACCTCTACAAGCCCCTCCCCTCTCCTCATGTCCTGACCAGACCCTCCTCCTCCTCTGCTGACCTGCCGTCCCCGTCTACTGATGCCTCACTGGGGGGGGTCCCCCCTCTCAGCCAGGCCGGTTTGTCCCCTGAGAGCCCCTGGGAGGCCCGCTTACCATCTCCAGGAAATCACCAAGGTAAAAGTAGCTGAGACAAACCGTGTCCTCCAACCAGTCCCCATGGCTTCGTCCTCTCAGTCCAACTGCTTTCTGTCCCCCAGGACCCCCTCCTGCTCAAGTCCCTAATGGACCCCCTGCTTCAACCCTCATCCAGAGCACCAGCTTCCTGGACTCGGTCCCTGTGACGCTGACCTTAGAGCCCCGGGACCTGCTTGGAGTGGAGGACAGTGCTGGTCCAGTCAGAGGGGGCGGAGCTTCAGGAGCCGTCTCCAAGGATGGACGAGGAGGCGAATTGAAGACGATGGAGGTGGAGCTGAGGAGGCGGACCGGAGAAGGATTTGGATTCGTCATCACTTCCCAGGAAGTGAGTGGAGGTAAGAACTGAACTGGTGAGGTGAGTGTCGGCCATCTTGGATTCTGATGGCTCAGGTTGCAGGTGAACTGAAACCAACTGAGTTCTGTTTGATCAACGCAGRCTGAGGGGTGTTGAACTGAAGACAAAAACTGTTTTTGTTCCTGCTTCTAACCTTAGGATAAATTATTTTTTGATTATTTTTACTCTGTGTTTGTGTCTGAAGAACTGCTGGCTGAAGCCCCGCCCCTTTCTGCTTCCAGACTAAACTGTCAGCCAATCAGAGTGCAGCATATATCCAACAGATTACCAGAAGCTTTTACTTCCTGTTCTGTTTGTTCTGCAGCAGCTGAACCCAGCAGTCATCTCCACTGTTAGCCCCGCCCCCTCCCTGCTCTGCTTAGGCCCCGCCCACTCCTGCTGATTTCTTGTGCAGCTCAACCCAAACAGAGACTCATCAGCAGCTGGAGCAGAGACAGGCAGGACGGAGACACAAACAGTTTGTTAGGACAGGTGGAGACAGGTGGACGGACAGACAGGGAGGACTTCAGGTGTCTTTTTGTCTTTTTGAAGTCGTGTTCTGGACCGGTCCATCATGTTGGAGCGTCTGCAGTCGGTTCTGAAAACAATGAAAGACTCCAAACGTAAGTCGCTTCACTTCATCTGTTTTCTGACGGTGTGGACAGGAGGACATGTGTCTCATGTCCACACCGGAGAATCCACTGAGCCAACCTGTCCCGTCATCGGGTCAGAACCGGGTGGTTCAGTTCTTGGTCAAAAAYGTCAAAAAGGACGTCCTTTAGTGTCTTTGAGGACAGGAAGTGTCCCTTTGTGAAGAGACAGACGTGTTTCTGTCAACAGAAACCAAAGAAACAGAAAATAAAAACAGACTCAGGAAAACATGTCAATTATTCTAATGTCAATAAAAACAATAAAAACTCAATCTGAGCCGTGACAGGACCAGGCTTTTATTATGAAGAGTATCAGTAGTTTTATTTTGAAACTCCAGGTTAAACCACTTCCTGTTCCCTCCTGAACATCAAGACCRGGTCCCAAAACTCACACTTRCAGCCTTCTGTCCTTCAAGTGTGCGTTCTCGCRGAAGGTTCGAGTGCGCAGTGCGTCCAGAGTCGTCTTTGGCCCCGCCCCCTTCGCTCCACACTGAACCCYCATCCAAACAGACTCTGGCAAAGTGAATTACCCACAATTCATCGCTGTAAGGTTTGCACCTTCCAGTCCAGTGGTGGCAGTGACGCACTTCATGAGTCGTCTACCACCAATAAAACCACAGAAGAAGAACCTTGTTCAGTGTTTTAGCAGCAGGAGCCTCTGAAGACTCTGAAGGATCTGAGAAGGCCCTGAAGGCTCTGAAGGATCTGAAGCCTCTGAAGGCTCTGAAGCTTCTGAAGCCTCTGAAGGCTCTGAAGGCTCTGAAGGCTCTGAAGACTCTGAAGGCTCTGAAGGCCCTGAAGGCTCTGAAGGCCCTGAAGGCCCTGAAGGCTCTGAAGGCCCTGAAGCCTCTGAAGCCTCTGAAGACTCTGAAGCCTCTGAAGCCTCTGAAGGCTCTGAAGGCTCTGAAGGCTCTGAAGACTCTGAAGGCTCTGAAGACTCTGAAGGCTCTGAAGACTCTGAAGGCTCTGAAGACTCTGAAGCCTCTGAAGGCTCTGAAGCCTCTGAAGCCTCTGAAGACTCTGAAGACTCTGAAGACTCTGAAGCCTCTGAAGGCTCTGAAGACTCTGAAGCCTCTGAAGACTCTGAAGCCTCTGAAACCTCTGAAACCTCTGAAGCTTCTGACGGCTCTGAAGGCTCTGAAGACTCTGAAGACTCTGAAGACTCTGAAGGCTCTGAAGGCTCTGAAGACTCTGAAGGCTCTGAAGACTCTGAAGGCTCTGAAGACTCTGAAGACTCTGAAGACTCTGAAGGCTCTGAAGACTCTGAAGACTCTGAAGGCTCTGAAGGCTCTGAAGACTCTGAAGGCTCTGAAGACTCTGAAGACTCTGAAGGCTCTGAAGGCCCTGAAGGCTCTGAAGACTCTGAAGACTCTGAAGGCCCTGAAGGCCCTGAAGGCCCTGAAGGCTCTGAAGACTCTGAAGGCCCTGAAGGCCCTGAAGGCCCTGAAGGCTCTGAAGGCTCTGAAGGCTCTGAAGCCTCTGAAGGCTCTGAAGGCTCTGAAGCCTCTGAAGCCTCTGAAGGCCCTGAAGCCTCTGAAGCCTCTGAAGGCTCTGAAGCCTCTGAAGCCTCTGAAGCCTCTGAAGCCTCTGAAGCCTCTGAAGCCTCTGAAGCCTCTGAAGCCTCTGAAGCCTCTGAAGGC